CTGTCAACTTGGAGATGTCTGTGTGTAATAAACTATTTATGTCACATCTGCTATAAGGGAATATTGTAGAACATATTTATATAAATGGACTTTATAACAAATTCAATTAATTAATGAAAAAAATATTGGATTAATGTCATCTCATGTTTTTTTTATTGTCCTAAATTAAATTAAATAAAGACCTCAAGTCAAGGAAACTCAGACCAACTTGGCCTCACCTGGTTCCTGTGTCTCTGTTAGTCGTTGAATGTCTGCCAGTTATAGTATTAGCTGATTGCATAACTGGGCGTTTTCTTCCCGTCTTTTATCTTCTCTCAGCTGCTTAGCGCCCAATAGAGCAGCGGATGATGGAGGCTCCAACACGGCATGATCTAAAAACCCACTGGCGCTTCAGTGTGCCTCAGCTGGCTTATATAACCCAGCGTGGATATGCAAACTGCCTAGCTGCTGGGGGAGCTGAGCGCACTCGCCACACACAGCAGCTGTGTGTTGGGATGCATTCGCCAGTGTGTGGATGTTGGCATGAGGACGGCACATCAGCGTTTGCTTGGGTAGCTGAATTAAGTCAGGATTTGTGTGTTTTTCTGCTCGGCAACCGCATCATCAAAAATCTCTCTCCTCCTCGTCACGCTTTCTGATGATGTCAGCAGCGTGGCTGCTTGATTTTGGGGCCAGCGAGCTCCTCGGTGATGTCATTTCCGGCGGGTCTTCACCTGAAGTGACATTTTTATGTTGTGTAACTCGAGCATTTTGCCTGTATTTTGGAGCAGATTTTCTCTGTCCACCCAGACGCTGCATGCAACTCCTCATTATAGAAATACCAGGTGGGTCAGTGAGAGCACTGTTTGCAGATGTAACCAGACAAGATGCACCATCCTCCTGTGACCTCATGGTGCACCCGAGGAAAAAGAAGACTTCTGAACCGGTACACTGTGATGCATCACAGCAGCGATGACTGTAAGCACGGTACGACTTCTGACATGCAGTAGTACGGGTGTGAGTGTGAAGGAATGCAGAGAAAGACAGCAATCAAGAGAGGCCTGACCTATATAAGAACGAGGCTGAAATATTTATGGATGTGAGTGTCCTAATTGGCAAGCCGCTGGGAGGAGTGCGGCCTTTTCCAATTGCAGCATGCGTAGAGGTTGACATGCACTCAAAGAACACGCGCACCCAGACGAGCAGCAGGGGTCTGAGGGCTTGACGGTTGCCTCATTATGACTCCGATCTTCTATCACCAAAGCTCTGGCATAGTTAGAACCATTACCAGAGCTGTTATCATAACCCTTCTCCATTGCACAGACGGACTGGAACAAACGCTCAGAGCGCTGAGTCAAACGCAGCCTAATTGGCTGGGTTTATCTCCAGCACTGGCACGCACGGCTCAGCCCTCAGAGAGGCCTCCACGGCTGTCCCCTGCAGTTGGAGATGATCAGACTGACTCGTTCTGATCACTGAATGCTGCAGCAGCGAGGGGTAGACAGAGGTCTGCAGCGACTTCAGACATTATCGAGTAACGTGACAAGAGTAATATCTAAAGATGAAAATACTCTCAGGATGCAAGATTTTTGTTTTCCTTTAAATAAAGTTGAATCAATAAGCTTAAGTTTCATTATGCTAATGAACGCTTACATCCTAAAAAGGAATAAAATGCCTGAAGGGAAAAAATTCCTTAAAAAGTGAGCAATGCACATATTTCACTGATCTGATTTCAGGTACAACAGCCTGTATGATAGTCAAATTTCTTTATTCCCCGTAGAATTAACCAGCACTTTTTATGTTTTTTTTTTTTTATTATATTAAAGCAAAAACTGATATTAAATCATCAGTGAGTGAAGAATGAGTCACTATATCTGCTTTTCTAGTAAATGCATTTACAAGGCTTTGTGTACATCTGGATCTAATAGTAAATTAATTTTAGTAAAATTGCTCTGTGTCAAACAAATACAACAGTTTTTACAAACAGGGCTGCAGAAACATCTCAAGTTTGACTCTAGTGGGCATTGATGAGTGGATTTAACTTTCCAGAGAACTTTTAACTAAATGGTGCTTGCTCTTTAAAGACATATTTAAACTCTTTAGTGTGAATAAACAAAGTGATAAAAGCTGAAACTTTCATGCAGTTTGGTGTTTCACGACTAACGTTTTGTATAAACGGGATAAAGCGAGGAAAGAGCTTAGAGACTGCTGCATTAGTCTGTGTGCAGGTGTGGTTCAGGCTGTAATGCACACCTACATTAGTGTGAATTACCCATTGTTGATAATCAGAGATGGGAAGTAACGAAGTACAAATACTTCGTTACTGTACTCAAGTAGATTTTTCTGATATTTTTACTTTACTACTTATTTTTATGGCGACTTTTTACTTCTACTCCTTACATTTTTACACAAATATCTGTACTTTCTACTCCTTACATTTTAAAAAATTGGCTCGTTACTTTAGTTTTGAATCATTTCAATGGAGTTACCGTTATTATTTTTCAGGTCATCAATACCAAATTCAATCTAATTGGATGGGAATCTACGTTGCATTTGACGCACCACTACAAGATGAATCGACAGATTCGGCGGTATTCATTGGCGGCAAATCATTGCAGCTTGGTGGCGGTGGCGTTAGCATAGTAGCATGGACGACGAGATGATTGAAAATGAACACAACAGAGATCTAGTCCTATTGGCAGACATCCATTTAAAATGTAGGCAACGGCATGAAAAAAGTGGTTTCTACTTTTACTTTTATACTTTAAGTACATTTACAAGCCTGTACTTTGTTACTTTTACTTGAGTAAAGAAGTTTAATCAGTACTTCCACTTTTACCAGAGTATTTTTTAACACAAGTATCTGTACTTTTACTCAAGAACGGAAAGTGAGTACTTTTGCCATCTCTGTTGATAATAGCAGATAGTAATACAATCTGCTGGTCAGGAACCAAGCTAATAAATGCATGAATGCGGCAGAGTTTTTACTTTGCAGAGCCTGCTGAAGGCAGAATATGAGTTAACAGGAAAAATAGTCAAAAACATAGAGGAAACATTTAGATTTATACATTCTCTTTTTCATAAGCCTTCTCTAACTGTTGTTAAGTAGAATTAATAAGCAGAGAAACAAAGATGAATTCATAGTTTACTGAGGCTATCAGTTATCGTCACTGCTCAAAATTCAACATGTAGGTAAAAAATGGAAATCATGTTTTTGCTCCAAAGCTAAGGCTACTTTTGATTAAAATACCTGTCTTATATTGACCAAAAACATCTTGATCATCGGCTGAAATTATTAGACTGACAAAACAAAAAGAAACAATCTTGAAGGTAAAGGTCTCATTACAACTGATGCAAAAGGAGTACAAGGTCAGTCCAGGTCTGCTTTGACGCTGCAAGACCTGGACGAATTGCTTTAATTGCCAGAACCATAAATTCTGCTCTCTAGTGGAAACTCCTGAGGGAGAATTTATAAAATTTAAACCCAAGAATATTTGAACTAAACAGGAAGGAACTGATCCAAACCCGCAATGGCAAAGACACCTCTAAAAGGTTAAAATAATATAATGAAGGTTTTGAAGTGGTCCAGTCAATGTATGGATTCAGATCCATCCATGATAAGGCTTAACACTAAACAAACCCTTAATTCTAGAAAACCATTGAATAAAGCTAAAATAAAAACAGAAATGAGAAAGACGCAATAGGTTATATGGTAGTCGTTCTCACCAAGGATGGCACAAACCATTTAGCATCCATAAATTGATTTATACAGAACGATACACAAAAACAATGTCTGTGACCAAAGCTCTTCACAAAATCAGTTTACACAAATGTTACAGCAGCTTATACAAGAAAGAAAAAAAAAAAAAAAAAGCCCAGATACGTCACTACATATTTTAGAGTAAAAAAAGCCTTTTGGAGTAAAAAAATCTTGATATTTGATTTAAAGGGGCACAGTTCAGTTACAGGTGGGAGATGTAGTTAAAGTTGATTCCAGAGTCCAGGTGCCAAAACATGGTGCTTTAGGTGATTAAAATGTTTAAAAGGAGTCAGATTTGAAGAAAAAAAAAATAATAATAAAATGAAAGCGGTGTAATTTGCAAGGTGGGACAAATACTTCAGCTCACACAAATGATACTAACTGGGTCAATCTGAGCCATTAAAGTTGTAGGATATGTGGATCTGTGCAGCACTCAGCCACTGATCTATACAAATACCTCAAATATTTAAATTATCTATAAGAAACTTTATACTAAACAGTTTAAACTAGAGAATAATAAATGTCTAAATTGTAAATCCCTTTACTGTCCCACAATGGAAATTCACTCTCTACATCTCTCGAGGAGCAGTGGGCTGCCATTGTGTGGCACCCAGGTAGTGTGGAGGTTCTGGGGATCAAACCAGGGACTTGCGATCTTCTCAGACAACAAGCAGACTGCTCTAACCCACTTGGCTAACACTCCCAAAATTATAAAAATATTAGCTATGAGATGTTGCTGAACAATTTTACAGGAAGAAAATATGGATTCAGAAACATTCTTTCCTTCTTGCTGATATTTCCAAATACAGTCTGCCTCTAAATAAATCTAATTCAAAATAGAAGAAGCTTTAAAAGAAAAAACTACATTTAATCCTACTACAATAGCTTTAGTACTTCATGAGCTGAAAGTAACTGCTGTTATTTTTAGGATTTGTAAAACAAATGACTCCGACAAGCATCTCTTTCTTGCTTGCACAAAGAAAACGGGAGCAGAAATCGATGGGCTGTGTTTACAGGGTACACAGCTGACTGTAACTCTGCACGTTATGTTACACACAGCCGAGCAGTAAAAACAGATGAGCCGCTTGGCAAGGCTCGGTCTGGCCGGCACCGCACTAAAAGCAGGCAGAGACAGAACTGACACATGGGCAAAGAGCTGCAGCTATACTGGCAACAAGCGGCTGTCTGAGCGAAAAACAAACAAGAAAAGTGGGACAAACATCGAGGAGGATGGAGGAGGAAAAAAGAAACTGATACTCACGTAAGAAGTACTCAGATGGGTCTGCTTCGTAATCAGTTTCCTCCGGAAAGTGGTCTATTTGTTTACACATCCCTTTAAAGTTCCCTGGAGAGAAAAAGAAAAGTTCAAGAAGGTTAGGAAAATGGTCAAGTTTATTTTTAAAGATGGAACAACAAACAGAGGAAGGCTATTCAATGTAGATATCCAATTCAAATCTGCAAAAACAGGATTCATATGGATGTAATTCACAGTTTCCCACAATATTTATCTCCTATAACTGTAAAAAATTGACTCTATTGTGGATTACTGCTTACAAGCTGATTTAGTCCAACTATTTGGGCAATTGTTAGCAATTTCTGTAACAGAGATTGAATGAGAGCAGCTAATATCAGAGGCTCTGTTCAGCATGAGGACCTGCAGCAGTTGGAGGCCTGTAAACAAGAGCGGAGCAGCTGGTGCGACCTGGAGCCTCTCCAGCTGCTGTGCACAGGGAGCCTCATCTCTTAACGCCTCTCTGTCCAGAAACAATACCCCCCTCCCGGTGTCCCCTCTGTCTGCTCCCTCCTGTTTGTTTTATGTAGTGGGGGGGGTATCCCTAAGGTGGCCATCATGGCGACCTGGTGCTTCAATGGTGGGAGGCAGGCAGATGACGGAGCGTTTGATTGGACCAGATTAGTGTTTCATTAACTTCTTCCTCTCCTCTCCCACCGCTGTCCCTCTAATTAGGGGAACAGGTGCTGGTTGCCATGGCGCCAGGTGTTGTGGGGTATTTTTTGGCAGCGGGCATCATGAGCACAGAGGGGTGCACTTTTTACTTTAGTAACCCACAATCAGCCTAAGGGGCGGGGCTCTAATGATAACAAGAGAACGAAGAGAAAGGTCCGAAATATTTTAAACAATTAATTTTTGAAACCAAGTTTGATGAAAACCTAAGCTGTAAAATGTTAAAATATAAATAACCCAGTAGTATGAATATTTAGGGGCTTAGCTTTACAGGGTTTTGTGTTTGATGTCTTCTGTCATCTTCTGTAATGATGCAGGATTTTAGCCTTTAAAGCAGTGAAAAATAATATTTCTATCTGATACAGATGGTAGGTCTGTAGTGTGTTCAACAACTCGAGCTTTAAAATGGAGTAGAGCTGGTTTATTTTTCACTCTTGAGTACCTATTAACATTTTCTCCATTGTGTACATATTTTCATTTTAAATTACTCCGCAGAGTAGTGAAACTCTGATGACATGCCATCAGAAGTACAAATATATTTACTGTATAGATCTAATAGAGAATAGAGAGTAAAATGGACTAAATAACTCTAAATGACCCCTCTAATTAACAGTAAGGCCAAAACTCACATCATTTTCGGTTGACAAGGCAAAGTATTGATAAAAAACAAAATAAAGGCCTCAGAAAGACAGAAAAAAATGCCAAAAAATGCTCATGCTGCCGCGTTTTTTAAACTCCTAAAATATACATTTCATAAACATTTCCTTTATAAACAAAATGCATAAAGCTAAAATGTCATATCACTGTAATAGCATAAAATTACATTGCAATATATATCGATACTGAGATATTGTCCAGCCCTAAACAGAGAGTGAAATAATTGTGCAATCAGAGGTGACTCTTATATTGGACGCAGCGATAATCAACACAACCCTAGTCCTGAGAAACAAGTTTCCTTTCTAAACCAATTCAGCACTAAACCCCACAGTAAAAATATGCTGAAAAGAAGTCGGTGTCCTCTTCATAAATAGAACATTGTAAAGTAAAATTTGTGCATATGAGAAAAAAAATGTTAACCTCTAAATGTTAATTATTAGGATCCTTTTATAGCACATTTTTTTGTTGTGTATCTGCTCCCTGTTCTGCTAGTTCATGGCAATGAGTATGAGGCATATGAAACTAGGGATGCATGATATTGGGATTTTGGCCGATATCCGATATC